TGCTTCGGGACTCCTTTCTGCTGGGGGTATGTGGTCTGTATCTGCTAGCGGCAAAAGAGAGGCCGCTTTGCCCATGCAAAGGGATTCGTTCCTAATTGGTTTTAGTACTTAAGGGACCCATCTGTCTGAGGCAGCAACAGCCTGCGTTGGAAGAAAGATTAATTTGTCTGTGAAGAGGAGGATGAATAGCGTAGTTGGCTGTGGTGGAAGTGGTTTGCATTCTTCAGGCAGATCTTTAGGATATTGGCACAGAACTGTCTCTTTCTGAAAGTAGATACTGTGTGCTGCAGTTGATCTGATGGCAATGCAGATCAATTGGAGACATGGTGAAGTCTGGCATTAGTTGTGACTTGATTGCCAGAATATTATTTCTAAAATGCCCGTGTAAAATTCAAGAAAAATAACTGAACAAGCAGCTTCCAGATCTGCCTTGATATCAAGAACTCTTTTCTGTGAATCTAAAAGAAAACTTTTAAGTTTTCCTACCTATCTTGTGGAAAAAGTTGTCTTTTGTCACCCTTTGTAGTTAATCTATTCCTCTTTGTAGTGACTGCAAGTACAAGAGAATTAGGTTGGTCGAACAAGAAACTAATGCAATCTCTTGGTATAGAATTCCTATCCTTAGATCAGATGCCTCCGAAAGGAAGCTGGCTGTTGTCAGACTGCATGGCCTGGGTCTAGAAGTGCTATATTGATAAGCAGTGGCAAGATATCAAGGGCTGATGATTGAAAAAGAAGAAAGGATCCATCAGACTCTATAATGAGCTGGTTGTACTGGGCAAGACGACTGCCGGATCTGAGGGCGTTCCCTGGTGCTGTGGATAACCTCAAGTCAATGATGTGGATGATGTTGGCGATGCTTCTACTTTCTGCTATTAAAGGGAACATACTGGGGTACAAAGCTGTTGGCTGCCAGCACTGTAAACCTAACCTCCATTGAGCTCCTTCAGAGATTACCACTGTTTACTGGACTGTGTTTTCTTGCTCTAGCTATCTTTGAGGCTGTTTCCAGGATTGTATCCATGAGGTTTCGGCTCTGTTTGAAAGCCCAACAGGTGGAACTCCTGACTTTGACAGGTACCTTTCTTGCTGAGATGGGAAGGATATGAGTAGGTGTCCCATAAAGGCCACAACAGTAAAACACGCAGTTCTTAAAGTCTATTTGATTTCGGTTAAAACTGCATGGCTTCTGTTTTTTCCATGAAGGGAAGGGGACTCCTAACATGGTTGTCAAGGGCTGAAACCAACAAAGCATGGTCCCTCAATTGAAAGTTCCGGAAGGAAAGTAGGTGGTGCATTTAAATAGCAAATGCAGGGAGAATTGTTGTGGTTTATTTAAGCGGTTGAGGTGGAAAAGTATTTCTCAACCCTTTTATAGTTGTGAGCTCTACATTGGGTATGGCTCTTGAAGAGTGCTCATACTGACAGGGTAAAATCCTGTGGCTAACAGTGCTTGCCTGTAGCTGCATTGGTAGTTTCAATATACATAAGCAAGTGTTCAAAGGAAAAGGTAACCATAAGTACCAGCAAAAAAGTGAAAAATGAGAGGTTAAGGAGAACCATTACAAAAAAAAAAAAAAAATCTTTTCGGTGCTGTATAGTGGAACAGGGAAAATCCCTGTGGTGAAGGGGAATACTTGATGGCCCCAGGGCAGAGCAGTGTTTCCTAGTAGAGGACTATCTGGCATGAAGCCTGAATAGACAAGGACTGGGGACTTGCTGTCAGGGTTGATAGGCCTTTGTGGTCACTCTTCTGGCATCTACAAGATTTTGAGCACATGCAGTTCCTATAAGCATTTGTGCATAGCGCTAGTCTAGGAGGCCATGATGCACACCGATGTTGTAATGCATTGCAGAGAGCAGGGGCATGAGTGATGGCCAGGAAGGAGCCTTTTGACCTGAAACTTGCATATATTTTGGGCCAAGGGAAGTTGTTCTGGCATAATTTCTGAAAGGAAGGTCTAGTGTTGCAGGTATGTTTGTAATGCTCTTTGTGGCCTGAAGTTTGTTGTGCTTGATTCTTGCTCTTTGTTTACCTTTAAACCTTACTGGGAACCTTTGGATAGTTGGAGGTGTTAACCCAGTCAAGGAAGTAGGATTGCCGTTGGAGCAGGTGCCAGGATCGTTTCTGGGTGGTTCTTTTGTCTGAAAGGATGTTTGAAGGAGTAGGAAAAAACCAAGAATGCTCTTGGAATCTTGCATCTGTCATAGAGGGCCTATTCAAGGGGCTGGGGAGGCTTGAGAAGGGAGGGTTCTGTGCCGGAGTCCTCGGTCTCCACAGCAGTGTCAAAGTGTGTGTGCACCACAGATACGGGTCTCAACAGTAGAGGTATCCACTGAGCTCTTCAGAAATGGCATGTAACTGGAGTCCTAAAAAAAAAGTGGAACAGCGTAAGTGAATGGCCAGGTTAGCAGTCAGTCATAGATCAAGATCTGTTTTATGCTTACTGTTTTTGGCAAAACAGAACAGTGCAGTAGTCTGCGTCTGCAAGGGCCACCATATCAGCTTGTTTAAATGATCAAACCTGTCTGCAGTGAAAGTTGGATCTGCAATGAAAGTTGGATGCCCCCGCCCGGCTAAATTGTTTGAAGGTGCCAGCAAGGAATAAATGCACGCTGATTCAGGGAATCCAGGCTTCCACTCATGATGTAGAGTTTTTTTGAAGAAGTATTCTCCACTTGATTGAACTCACGGCCTGACACACTGACGGCAAACACATAGGTAGACAATAGAAATTACAAACATTGCTCTTCTGAACTTACGGGCCATGTTGTCATCATCAGCTATTACTGATCTGCCATGGCATTATTTATTAAACACGTGTTTCAGGCTGATGGCTAATTGAAGACCTTAAACGTTTTAGACCCTCTTAGTTGGGCAAAATTGATTGCATATTTAATAGAAGTATGCGATTTGTACTATCAGTTGTAAGGTACAAAAAAATGCACGTTGGAAGCTTGTTGTGGAAGTTGTCAGGTTGAGTTGGTGGCTCTTACTTCACCTAAGACTTCAAGCTTTTCTTTTAAGAGGTCTGTGGTTTTCCTGTAAAGGCAGAATATATGGATATTTATATTTTGCCACAGGTAAGGCTTGCAACTGCTAGCAGGCACGGTATCAAACTGGTTTTGAATAGGTAATTGGTTTGGATGTCTCTTTGCCCATGCCTTCATTTTCATATTTGAGTTGTGATTGTAACAACTGGTTTCCAGTTGGCCATAAAATTTTGTTTTCCTGACTTGCCAGTCTGCCACAGTGCAGATGCAGCCCAAATGACAAACGGGTTGCGTAAAACCTAATCTTGGACCTTGGCACTGGTGACAGGAGTTTTGAGACGCACACATTTGCTACATATTATTCATTTTATTCCTTAAACTATTGTTACGTTAGGAAAGAAAAACTCCTGCGTTATCTGTGGTCCTTGGAAATCAAGTCACGATTTGAGACTTGTGCGAAGTATAGAACCTGATGTTTGGAACAACGCTCGATTGTATGGTTTACTGCAGCGATGTTTATTTGCGCAACTGTTCAAACTGAATGCCTTGAATTAAGATGTATAAAGCTGGAAGATGTTTGCACTTGAAATGAGGAGGAAGCTGCTTGTGTTTTATTGACAAGAGAATTTTTTCTTTTCAGGGCACAGGTGCAGCAAGTTTTGACGAATTTGGGAATTCAAAGTACCAAAATCGCAGAACTATGAGCAGCTCCGATCGCGCAATGATGAATGCTTTTAAAGAAATCACAAACATGGCAGACAGAATCAACCTCCCTAGAAATATAGTTGTAAGTTCACGTCTCCCTTCCCTAAATTGTCCTGGCATTGACTTAGTTAGCATAATATAATGAGCACATGAATTTTTGATATTGCTGCTAATTAAGTGGCCTAGAGTTAATTAAATTTAGTCTTCTTGCTTTGAAGGATCGAACAAATAATTTATTCAAGCAAGTGTATGAGCAAAAGAGCCTGAAGGGAAGGAGTAATGATGCCATTGCTTCTGCTTGTCTCTACATAGCCTGTAGGCAAGAGGGTGTTCCAAGAACATTTAAAGGTAAGTTTTCAGCGATACAGATTCAATTTTGCTATGAAGGAAAGAAAGGTCTAGTTACTGTCACTGTAGGAGGCTGGTTTTCTCATTCCTGGTCTTTGCTGAAGTGGCTGGGCT